ATTTGTAATGTATAACTATGTTCATAGCTTTATCTTCATTAATTTTTTATGATTTGAAATAAATATTATCAATTTTTTATTAAAAAGGATACAGAAGAGATTTTTAAGTCAATTCATCTGGTATGGTAAAAAGGGATTTAAGAAGATAAAATGAAACTCCCTATGAAGAAAAAAAAATATATAAAATCCTTTTCCAAGAACACTGACCAAAGATAACTTTGAATCTGAGCATTTATCTGATTATTTTCCAATAACGGCCCTAAGACGTTCATTGCACTTCTTGAACCTTACTGAGTGAAGATTTCCTGGCAAAATAATCGACCATTAGTGCGATATACTCCTGCCTCCGTTTCGGAAATAAGCAGTAATTACTGTGTTTTAATTGATTATTTCCACTAATGATATTCAGTGAAAAAATATTTTAAAAGTGGAGCTATCTGCAGAATTTCGTTAGTCACGTTATATCATAACATCTGTGGTTTTTCCATAAGATTTAGGCTTTCTTCTCGGAAGACATGAATAAGTAACTCATTGACATTTATGTTCAACTGAGTATCAAGTCAGAGAATTACTAAATACACCCTAGAATATTTCATTATTTCTTTAAAGAATATCTACTAAAATTTCATACTTGTTTTTGTCAAAAAAGAATTAAGTGATTTTTATCACTTTCACCATGACCCTTCGGTCTCTTGCTGTGACCCCACCCTAGCCAAATAAATTGAAATGACTGAGGATAGTGCCAAAAAATATATGAAAAAAACAAACAGTATTCAAGCTCAACAGTTCATTTAAACATTTCAAATCAGACGCATTGCAAACAAGAACCTCTAAATCATCAGAGATGGGATCAGTTGTCTTGGAGGAGTGAAGATCCCCGGCCAACCATTCACACCCTCAGTGTGCTCCTTCTCATGATTGGAAAATAGGGGGAAATCCTGTACACAATGCAGTGTGTAAACAATGTCTAACCATTAGTATGAAATACGTCAGTTAGCATTTGACTTAATGATAGATTGTGTTTGATGATATGGTCATTGTATCGACCACATAACTTGCTAGATGATGACTTTAAGCGAGACTGTTGGTATTATTGTTTCAATTTGTTTCCAATAACTTGAGTCGTTTAAAAAACGTTTAGCATGCTCTTGGGATCAAGTCAACTGGAAGCCTCCGTATGCAGGTGGTAAAGTTATTAAAGTGACCATGTTTATCATAAAAAAAATTAAAGAATTAGTATAACCCTGATGTTCTTGACAAGAAGAAATGTTCTTAAGATACATTTCCATGTAAATATTTGCTCCCATTTTTTGCGGTCATATATATATAAATATATATATAAAATCATGTTTAACGTCGAAATCATTCATATACTGAGATGGTACAGCTTTAATTTTTTTCTGCAAAATAAAAAAAATATCTATGTGTAAGGGTCTTTGGAAATTTCACAGTTCATGTTTTGCTAATAATAATCGTGGCAGTGAATTTATGTTTTAAGAAAACACATGGAGTTCAGAGATATAACAAAAACTAATATTATTTTTTTTTATTCTTTTAAAAATTCACATACAGGAATATACATAAGTTGTATAACTATGTAAAACTTGTAAGTCAAAGACCAATAATGTTATCACTCAGTCATTGCTTTAAAGAAATTAATTTTAGCTTAATATGAAGGAATCCATGATTGGGGAGTAAATAAATGCATCAGAATTATTAGTACATGTATTTCTCTACAGTTCAACGATCCTTCTGTTTTTGGTTGCGAGGAAAATGTGTATGTTAGTGAAACTTAAATACTCAAACAGAATTCAAGATAAAAGTAAAACTTGCAAAAAAGTGCGTTATATACCTCTCCAAATGGTTTCAAAAGCGACATTTACTTACAAAATTGCCCAGACGATGGTGCACACAACCACCAAAAGGAAGACGGCGACAAGCCCACCAAGCACGAGGTACCATTTCAAGTTGTCTGTAAAATCTATTAGAAAGGGACATATTTAAACGATTGATGGATATTTAACCTTTCACTGTGGACAAGATTCATTGTACATACATCTAGAGTGGACAAAAGTCATTTTTTTAGTTGGAATGTATGTATTTGTAAAAATAAAATCAACATCAAATGCAAGATCAAAACACATGACTTCATTTTTAACTGTTTGTTTCGCATATATAACTGACATTTCATATAGAGAAACAGCTTGATCTTGAGAAAACGATAATATCTCGATCGAAATACATAAGAAGTCGTACTATAACAAGAAAATATAACAAGAAAATACCTTGAGCCAATATCTTAATACATGAACGTAGTGCAAACGAAAACATATTTTCCACCTAAAGAGTGAAACAAATTGCTTATCCTCAATAATATTTTAATGTGCAATTCACTTAGCTTGTCTTGTAACTCAGTCGACTTTTTTTTGATTAGGGTTAATATGATAATGTGTTGTATTTGGTGAAGTCTTGAACAAATCTATCTGAAATATGTTTGGGAAGGTTTCAAATAAATGATAATGATAAAGTTAAAAACTAAAAGAAAATACCTGTCCCCGAATTAAAGATATTGTTAGCTTTAGTGGAACCGTTTTCAGGTTTAGCTGTAGAAGATAACATCTTCGGCTCTACCATAGGCGTCACTGACGTCAAGGCTGCAGGGGTTACGTCATTATGGTCACTGAACTCGCATAACACTCGTAATGAGTCATCGCAGGAACGAATTTCCGTTGTCAATTTTCCGTCGGCATTTAGTTTTCCCCCAACACAATTGGTGATGGAAATGTTTGGTATATCTAAAACATAATTGTTTTTCATGCATGTTTAAATGATTATTTATATTATAAGTTTGTTTGTCATACTTCTCTGGCACGAAGTATCGCCCTACCCATCTCTTCTCTTTGTTTTCAAGTATTACTTTTAGCTCAGCTCAACGATGTTGATAGGGGCTTAAAGCTGAACACGATTCTTCAAAGGAATGTTTCCGCCATTTTTGTTCGGATTCTCGCTATATCTGAGGTCCCCTATATATAGGGATTGATTGCGACACTGTTCTGTGTAATCAGTCGACCCGATGTAGACGGACGCAGCTATGCAAATATAACTGTAATACTTTGTCTAATGCAAGAAAGTAAGATACCAAAGAAACGTACAATTATATTTGTACAGGTCAGTGCAGTATATAAACAAACACATACACACGTAACTGCAATAAAATGTAAACAAAGGTAATGCAAGATACTGGTAACCAGCACGAACACGGGTCCATTTCCATGCAACTATGAGCTCTACAAGAACATATTAATGTATTTTTTAGGAATGGACATTGCCAGACTTGCTTTTGATGCTCGACGAACCTACATTTTCCACACGAGTGATCAGATTACAATTTTTGGAGCAGGTCCATTTCCGAGGAACCATGAACGCTATCTGGACCCATCTTTCATGGATGATGCATCTATGGATGAACACTATCCAACCTTCTTCAAATATTTGATCTGACCTATATTTCCTAGATGAGTAAATTGTAACCCTAATTGTACCAAATTAGCAAGAATGATGTTTCAATTGATGGACACTTCCAGACTTAATTTGAATCTGCCTAAAGTTTTCCAGAAGAATATCAGGGTAATGTTTATGGAATAGCTCTATTATTTTATGACCAGTTAGGATTAAAATTTCATGAGTGATGCATCTAAATCTTAAAAAGACACTTCCAGACTTGCTTCAGATGTTGGAACTGATCGACATTTTCTTGATAGTGAACAGGTACAATGTAAACGCTATTGATCTTGGGAAGCACATAATTAGACCCCCCGACCTTTTATTGCAGTATAGTCAAAATAGTCCAAGTGAGGTAAAGAGGTAATGTATATTTTTTTTGGTTTTGAAATAACCCTTTTTCTCAAGAGACAGAATTTTCAGATTTGACAATTTTCATTTTTTGGCCCATCTTTCATAAACGATACTACGTGCCTGGGTTTAAATATACAAGTACTGCAAGAATACATGTATTAACATTGGTTTTGAAATAAACCTTTTTCTCAAGAGACAGAATTTTCAGATTTGACAATTTTCATTTTTTGGCCCATCTTTCATAAACGATACTACGTGCCTGGGTTTAAATATACAAGTACTGTAAGAATACATGTATTAACATTTCTATATTTGTTTTAATTTTTTTCTAATTTATGTATCAACACCTTTGAGAAACAACGTCATATTTACATAAAAAATTTGGATGATAACCTATCCGAGAATCGATATTTTAAATTTTGTTATTCTTCACAATTTTTTTTCTTTAAGATATGATAGCCTATATGATAATTAACAATGTTTACTGAATTTAATATCAATATCATCAAAACATCTTCACCTAAGCCAAACACCATCTTGTGTCTTCTGAATAACCCCACCCAGTATTTGTCGTCTGCCATTGGTGACGCCAGTGATTGTTTAGGAATAAGAAAGGTAGGAAATTCCAGCAGACCCTGGGCGGTTTGGTAGCTTCTCAGCACGGCGTCTTGCCATGACTCTACGGGTAATGTGTAGACAAATAGATGATGACTCCGGGGAAAGTTTAAAGCTGCAGGTAACAAACAATAAGTCATAAGTATATGTAGCACTGCGCGGAAGTATAAATAAAAAATTGAAAACCTCAGACAGAAATGAATGAACTTCATAAAACTCGTCCCACACTTTTTAAAAACAATTTACTTTTTTCTTTTACGTTAATTCAAAGATATACGGAATTTATGAGTAAATAAAGAAAAATGTAACTGTATAATCGGGTACAAAGCTTGCAAATAATCACAGCCTATGGATGCCTCTGATGAAATCAGTTGTAAACATTGGCGCTAACCAATCACAAAATTGATCCTTTTTAAATTAACCCAAAAAACCGTAGAAAATAAAATGCCGAACAAGTAATATGCTTACCTGTTCGATATGTGTATCCTAACTCTGAATTGTCACATGGTAAAACAACGGGTTTCCCAAACCAGAAATACTGGGCACCGGTAGTGTTATATTCGCCATTATAACCAGAGGCTAGACACTCCCCCAGTCCCTGGTACTGTGAAGAAACTGGTATAAAAAGATAATTATCTTAATATTTAAAATCTCAGTTTCATGTTATAAAACATTATTTTACATTTTGTTTATCAACAAAGTTTTGTATCTCTAATCAAGCGATAGTTTTCGAAATAAGTCTTTGATTCCTCATTTTATTTCTAGTGATGACTTTTCTGATTTGATACTCTTGATTTCTGCTCTCTTGCATAGAATATTAAAAAAAAAACAAATGTGTTGGTATAAACACATTAATTAAATAAAAAAACTCAATATTACCAAACCAGAAGTTATACCAATGGTTAAAAGAATATTTTACCTATTTGATAGACAACAACATTATAGTCGACGCCACAAAAATCGTTCTGAGATCCGGAACACTTCTGAGGTACACACTTTCTGATTTGAGATAAAGAGAAATTTCCTCCGTAGCAGTAGCAGCTATTAGACTAAAATAAACCATGACAAGTGAAAATGATAGACTAAATACGGAATGTAAGCACACGAAAACTTAAATCTTTAAATATCGTAAAAATTTCACTATTTCTCATACAGATGCATTTTGATGATAATATTTTTTATATTCATTGTTTGATATTACAACTGGACAGGCCCGTAAAACACTGGGGGTCATGGTCACTTTTTTGTTCGAATAGTCTTATAGTTTGTATTGTTTTAATTTGTAAATTTTCATTAAGATGCTGGTTGTTCCCATTTTTATTGCTTTAAGGTCAAACATTTAGTATTTCAAGAATTTTAAAAAGAATGGTAGAAAATAGTCCCTCGACTTCCATCCCCAGTTTTTGAAAAAAGACAAGAGTGTTTGGACATATAACTTTTTTTGTTTGTCGAATATTTCGGTGAAGTCCACTTTTTAAAATCGTTGCTACGGGCCTGTTTTAAACCATAAATCATTCACATTTCTTTATAAATTGTTTGGTTTTTTTCATTAAAGAGAAAGTAGAACTCTTCTAATGTGTTGTAAAATCTTACGTACACCTAGACCAAAAACCGTAGCGCCTTTACAATAGTCATGACAGGACTTCACATCATGTGTCTCCAGTACTCTGCTGTTTTGGATTGGGCTTGAGACAATGAGGCCGACGTAGTGACAACCTGTAATAATATCGTGATATAATATTATGAACCATATATACAGTTTAAGCAATGTATTTCTCTATATCAGCAATGCATTTCTCTATTTAAGGAATGAATTTAATAGCTACCCATTTTATACGGTATACACTGGGTTGGGGCAGTTTACGCTTTATAAACCGCGAAGCGGTTTATTAAAAAAGCGTAAACTGTTCCAACCCAGTTTATACCATAGAAAATGGGTAGATATTAAATTCATTGGTTATAATTTAATTATCATTCATTTGGTTAAAGAAAAAAAGATAATTGTTCTAACAAAATGACTTCAATTTGTAGAAAATTGGAATGTAACGTCAAGCGGATTGATACGTTTTTGACGAAAGTCATTGTGACGTAGGCAAGCCATTTTATACGATATGAAGTAAATTTTTTATCCAATCAAATACAGCGTTACAACCAGAATTAGATTATATTGAGATCATTCCAAATAGTTCTTGCGTGTTCTATTAAAAGCTTTTGTTTGTTCTATTAATCTTAAAAGCTTTTAAATCAAACTTGACTGCAATTGTTTGAATGTGGAATAATTTATTCCTGTTGATGCTTTGTAAACTTTTGAATTTAAAGAATTGTATTTTTCCATGTTGTCATATATATAGCTTTATATTAAACAATCAATAATTAATCTTCAACTTGTGTATACTGTATTAGTTCTATGACTAGCTTTTTGTAGTGCAAGATATACCTACCAAGAATCTTTATCCATTTTGTATGTTCCACATAAGCTCCTATCCAAAATACCCCATCTGTGGCCGAGCGATTGGAGAGAACTATTGAATCATTTGAGACATTGAAGGAAGTTTGGGATCCAAGAGGGGCACACTGTGTTTTAGCAGACGACCATGGACTCGTTGATTGACTTAAACTTGCACGAATTTCTGTTTAGATAAATAAATAAATCTATTACTGTTGTATAAGTATGTGTTATTTTGGCATTAAATCTCAGACACACAGTTTATCAAAAATAACTTTGAAAGAACACTTGATATAATGTACATCTTTCATAGAATGTTTAAATTCAGCCCCTCTGATTACATGTACCTTTCAATGCATTTTTCCGACTGATTATCATTCCCTGATTTAAATATAAAATACATTTCATGAGTTATCAATTATTCCCTTCTCCCACTATTGCGAAAACAAGGGGATATGGAACGCCATCACTGCCTTATAGCATAAAACTATGCATTCATTATGTCAATCTATCATTACGTGATGTGAACATATCTTTACGTTATATCATTTTTTTATGGGGTAATGTAAAAATATCTTTACATCATGTCAATGCTGCATTACATGAAGTAAACACATTCTTCCATTATGTCGGCACTTTATAACTTGAAGACCAAAGTTCATTATGTGAAGTGAAAATATGTTTACATTGTGTTAAAACTTAATTACGTGAAATGAATATTTCTTTATATTATTTCATTTCTTTAATATGTGAGATCAAAATTGCATTACGTCAAGTTAATTTCGTTTTACATGTGTTCTATGATTAAATTTATCATTACATTTAGTCAAAGTCCATTCCCTTTTGTGAGTGTATATTTCTATTAAAGCAAAGCATTATTACGTGATGTTAATGTATCTTTATTTTACGCCGAGGTCATCACAATGTGAGGTGAATACATCTTACCTTTATGTCAGTTCTTTATTACGTGATGTAAAAAGGTTAATAACATAATATGAACATGTATTATGGAGAAGTCCCGGCGTTCCATATTATATCAACACTTTATTACGTTATGTCAAAACTCCATTCCTATATGTGGATATTTAATAAGAATATGTTAACTCTTTCTTACGTGATTTAAAACTATCTTTACATTGTGTTAATTCTTTATCATGTTGATTACAAATGTTCATTACGCGCTGTAAAATACATTTACATTATGTCAAAGTTGATAACCGTGTTTTCAGGACTGGGAAGGGGGGGGGGGGGCTGATTAATTAGGACGAATTACGGACACATTATATGAGGAGGGGGGGGGTCTGACTTCCTCTTTTTTCCGACATAACTTTATCATAGAAAATGTTCATTGAAATTCAGTCCCACTTTTTGCTGAAGTATAAGGGTAATGTATCGTCTCGTATCCTTTTTTCGACCGTATTGTACTTTCGACCCATTTTTCATAATCTGCTTCCCGTGCAGATACCGCAGGGTAGATCATTATTTTCGGTTGCTACACTTGGAAAAATACATTTGCAGCACAAATGTAGTGAAAATACCCAAAATAATTAATTCAACGGAATTCCCCCGATGGTTTTAGTCCGTTGTCAGAAATTCTAGTCTTTTTTACTAATGCTCATTTTATATGTTGATTAATCAAAGGCGTAATCGGTTAATTACAAAGATTTTTTGATTACTTTTTTCGAAAGTAAATTAAGATCTCTGTCAAAGAGACGCATGAATATTGAAATGAATGGGTGGATCAAATGAATTTTTTTCTTCCTTAAATATGGGCACTTTCTTACAAATTTAAACTGAAAAATATAACGTAATTTCATTGATTTTTTGTGGAAATGCACAGCTACTGACAGGTGGGTTCAACCAACGAGTAAATGTATTTGCAACCAAAATTTGCAACTTGTTCAATGTTTTTTTTTGAAAGAAAGACAATCGTATTTTTATTGTTTGGAATATCCAATAGATACTTATAGCCAATACTGATTGGGCGTTGATACTATATTTAGGTCGAAAACACAAGACGCTAATATTTTTGTAAGGAAAATTGCACCCTCTCCATATTATGGCATATAAATGAAATAAACACAAAACTGCTATTTGGGTTATTTCATTTTATTTATAGACGCATATGCAAACATTTTAAGCCAATATTTCTTCAGATTCTATAAAGTTTGCAATAAATTAATAAATAACATCTTAATAGGTCAAAAATACAATACGCCAGGATAGTAATTTGGAATTTTTTTAAGGACTGAAAACCCCCCCCCCTTTCATAGGATTTTCGAGTTTGGATTTTTTTTTCGCTTTTTCTTGTACGTTATTTTTTTCTGGCTGACAAACCTCCCCAGCTTTCAAAAACAATGCAACGTCCACTGGAATTAGTAATTTTTCAACCATTCCAGGACCAGAATTCTGTTACAAAAATCTACGTTTTCACTTAAATCAATTGACCATGCCTTTTAACACGGGCTCATATCAGTTCTTGAAAAGAGTAGCTATAACGATATGGTGTCTAAGTTGGGGACCAGGGGTAAAGCCCGTGGCTTTAGATTTTTTAAATAAAACGTTTAAACTTATTTCAGTTATACTTTATGTAAAACTAATGCAATGTCCTACAAAGTAAAATCAATTGATTAATTTCATGCATATTTTGGTCACTAAAGATGGGAGGGCCTTTTAGAACCAGTGCACGGATACGATATGTATTTACACTTTTTTTTTTAAAAAAGGAGGGTTAAAGTATAAAAAGCTTAGTGTTTTGTAGTTAGATCAGAAGTTTCTTTTCAAATCGTCAATAAAGATTCCATGGGAACATGATCCTGTTTTTAATTTAACCTGATATTTAATTAAGGATTAATTAAGTCTTGTGTATAATTTAATATTTGATACGTTTAATTTAAATTATTTGCATGTTTAACATATGTGCATGTAATATTGAAAACACAAAACGAACTTTTAGGCATAACCTAAACCTTACGTCACATAATAAAGAGTTGAAATATTCTAAGATATACTGACAAGAGGCTAAGCATTTTAGACACAATGTAAAGATACAATGGCATAACATAATAATGATTTGTCAAAAAGTAAGGGAAAATTGACATCATGTAATAGATTCCCGGCGTCATGTAGCATATTGATGACACAATATAGTAAAGAATTGGCCACATGTGACAATTTTTTTCACATCATGTATGAAATTCTGACATCGTGTTATAGCGACTTGATATTGAATTAAAGATAAATTCACATCATGTAATGAACTACTTAGACCAAATAGTAGAGAGTGCACATAATGTAATAATGAGTTTAAATTCTATAATAACATCTTTACACCACGTAAAATTGTTTTGACTTAATGTCATAAAGAGCTGATATAAGGCAATGGAAGATTGGCGCAATGTAATTGAAGTGCGAGTTAATGCAATAAAGACTTAACATAATGTAATGGAAAGTTGACATAACGCAATAGTAGTGTGACTAAATGTCATAAAGAGTTGACATAATGTAATGGAAAGTTGACATAATGCAATAGTAAAATTCATAAAGAGTTGACATAATGTAATGGAAAGTTGACATAACGAGAAATGTCAATATAATGTACATAACGAACTGTGTGTGTAAATGTCCTTTCTTCATCGATAACATAATAAACAGGACACGACACTAAGTAGAGTAAAGAAAAAAACACAAAAGAATAACCATAAATTCTTAAATATAAACATTAATAAATATTAGAAAGAACGACTTGTGTTGTAATAATTATGAAATTAAACATATTGTAAATCTTTTCTTTTCCTTGAATGATTAGGTAGTTGAATTTAATTACTTGGGAAATTATTAGATAAACATTAATAAATATTATCGAAAGAACACGCCTTCTTAAAACATCTTTCAATCTTTCAGGTACAATTTCCATACAATAAACGTCACATGCATAATCTTAATTCGTTTCACGTACCTTAATATTCATCATCAAAACCCAACTTCTCTGTCTTTGGAGCGTCGTTCAGTTCATGTGGGTAAAGTATGTACCTTAAATTCTTTTCATCATATCTGATCAATATGTTTAAAGTAGAAAGTAAACGATATTTTAGGGATTTAATAATTATATTATTATAAAGATATTTAACTATTTTTCTAATTTTAAGTTGGCGATCTTTCATATCAAATTGCTTAACAAAGGACACGTCTCTTCTCCAGCGTTCAATGGGCAGCAGAACGAACATAATTTTTAAACATCTCCCTCCCTTTACTAAAACAATCAATCCATTTAATGACAAAACTTCTGGCAAGTCTTTTGTCTTCATGAACCGTGTACAAATTATTATAAGCTTCTGCAAAGGAATTTCCAAGATATACATTTAACTTAACAGCGGTTTGTTTCTCGAATACGACTCGGTCAACCATTTTTTGCCATACATAATCTACATATTGACGTTATTTTCACATTGTGACGTCACAAACATGGGGCAAAACGTTCCATTACGTATGCTATTTAAAGAACATGTGTATGACTCTGTGTGCCAAATTTCATTCTGATCTGAATTGTGGTTTTTAAATATAGAGATAGTTCACGAACTTTTTGATCATCACTCGTATTTGAAATCAAAGAACAGGCAGAAATAAAATTAAACATTCAATGTTTCATAATTGTCTACTGTGAAATCACCATTCTGTCTGGTGGGCCAATTCGTGAAATTTTGTCGGGACCCTAAATCCATGAATTTATATCCAAACGAATATTTTTCATGTCACATATTCTCTACAAACAAGTTCACAAAGAAATATGAAATTTCTCTTACCGAAGAACATTGAACTCAACTAATTTAGTTGATTTCACAGTATTTGTACTAGTGAGAAAAATATAACAATCTGTGTTTTTATTGAAGTCATAAAAATCGGAGTTGTCGTCTAAAAAATTAACGTCTAACACCTTTTGTACGTACACAAGGTATTTTATGACGTAAATCAAATTGTTTTCAAGTATATTTCGCGTTTTCCTCCCAAAAAATCAAAACCTCTAATGAACACATTATCTCTTTGTATATAGATGTCGTGCAAATGAAAAGATCGAGTGGGTAGACTAAGGTAGCATACATGTAACAAAGATAAGTGAGTAAGAGTCATGTCAGCTTTATTAAAAGTTATAAACAGTAGGAGACATGGTCATACTGATAAAAACT